GAGCCATGCTGCACGGGATGGGTGCGTTCGCCCTCGTGCGTGATGTGTCCAGCCGTGCCTTTCTCGCGAGCCCCTGGTCCCTGCGTGGCATGGCTGGGCGTAACGCCAAGGTGTCCTATGGCGAGGCGCAGCTTCCCAGTCTGCCAGTTAGCCTGGCTGTCACCTCCCAAGATGCAAATATGTGGGAAATCACGCTTGCCCATCCCAGGATTTGTAGCTGAGAGGAAACGGGTAGGGTGGGGGGGCCAGCGCCCACAAGGGACTCCGCCTGGGAGAAACCAGACCGGTGGGAAAGTCGTAAAGACAAGACACTTATGGGAATGGCATCTGGGGGCCCGGCTGAGCAGGGGCAGCAAGCACTCACTCGACCAGAGCCCTGGCCACCCCCAACTGCTCCAGTGTGTCACAGAACCGCACTTCATCTTCTTCTTCCTCCTCCAGGGATCCTCCAAGTCCCTGCGCAGGCAGCCAGCCCGACTCAAAGGTCTCCTCTTGGGCCCTGGATGGCAGTGGGCCCTGGGCGGACTCCACACCCACAAACTTGCCTGGGGCGGTGGGGGGGTGGTGTTGTTAGGATCACCTGGGCCACTGGCTTCCCCATCTTCTGCCTTCCCACCTCCTTCACCCCCACCCCTCCGCCACCCAGCCTGTATTTTTCTGGCCCCAGCTTCCTGTTTATCTTCCTCCTGTGGCCTGAGCTGCCTGGGAGTGGGAGGTGACAGCTGGACTCAAACCAGAGAGGGGCACCAGGCTCCCAGCCCTGCCTGGGATGGTCACTGGAGAGGGAGGGGGCAAGGTGCCTGGAGGATGTGCCCCAGAGCCCATGGAGAGAACAGGCTGAGCCTGTACATCCCCCTCTCCTCCCCAGGCCAAGTGTAGGGTCTGTGCGTGGGGGGCTGGCCTGCTCACCCAGGCCCAGTCGGAACTCTCGGGGGGTGAGGAAGCCAGTGTGGGCTTGGTCCAGGCTCTCAAACACAGCCTCCAGCTGCTCAGGGGTCAGGGGCAGGTCGCTCTGCAGGCCCTGGCCGGGAGGAGGACAGGGATGAGTGGGCAGGCACAGACCCCTGTCAGGGGGCCTCTGGTGGCATCTCACCTGTAGGTCGTGCCGTGTGATGAAGCCCTTGGCCTCCTTGTCACACAGCAGAAAGAGCTCCTGAGCCTGCTCCAGCATCAGCGCCACCTGCAGGGGGGCCACTGATCGCCTCTCCTCCTCTTCTTCCTCCCTGGGCTCCCCAGCCCCCGCTGTCCCTAGGCTGTCCATGGGTCCCGCAGGTGCTGTGAAGGCAGGGAGGGGTCATCCCAAAGATGAGCAGGCAGTGGGGCTGCCTGGGACTACCAAGCAGGGGATTGGGCAGGAAGACTAACAGTACTTCAGGGACTGGGGTCTCGATGGCATGGGGCAGCCTCGGGGCCTACAGGTGTCACTTAGCCGGGTCCGGTCTGTAAAAACGCATTACCAGAGTCAGTTCTAGTTCAGAACACAGCAGGTGAGATGGTAAGCCTCCCCAGAGGCAGGCAGCCTCATTTGTCTCCTGAGGAGCAGCTACTGGTTTTGAACCTAGACCTTGTGGTCAGTAGCCCAAGGGCTAACCCCCATACCACTAGGGGTCCAGGGAGCCTCACAAACACAGGGACCCTGGCCCACAGGGGTTAGCTGCAGAGGGCTGGAGATGGGAAGTGCGGTGTCCATGGCTCCTGGTGGCTGGGTGAGCAGTGGACAGCCAGAAAGAGACAGACCTGCAGGAGTGGGACACTGGGTCTGCCTCACCCCCAGGCAGGGCTTCAGAGCTGCCAACACAGCAGCCAAGGGGCAGAGTGGCAGAGGTAATGTCCCTACACCTACACCAGGCTCAGGGCTGTCCCTGGGGCTACAGGTGCAGGGTCCCCAGCTCCCGTACCTTCTGCTTGCCCCAGGTTAAAACCAGGCACCAGAAGGGCCATGCCACCGCCAGCACAGCAGCCGCCAGCGGGTGCCCCTCCCCCAGACTTGCCCTCCCCGTCCCGGAACCACAGCGGAGACGCTCCGCCCCCTAATCAGAGCCACCTGTCGTTCCCACAATATCCTGCTCCTGGATTTCCCAAAGGCCCCCATAAGCAAAGGCACCCCCTCGTCCCGTGTCCTAAAACGATGGGGTCTTCTCGGCTCAGACGGGAACCCGGGTCCTTCCAACCCCCTCATATTCGGCAGAGGGGACACAGGCTTGACTTCCAAAAAGGGCAGGTCAGAGGGGGCGGCGGCGGCGGTCTAGAGGAGGGGTCCCAAGGGCCAGGCCGCCTTTCTGCCACTTCGCCACCGCGGACTGGGTCACCACTCCCACCGGCGCCTCGCAGGCTCCCCGACCGGAGGTCTATCCCTGGCGGAAGCGGAGCTCCCGGCCTCCCTGAGAGCAGGCACGGGGCCCGTGGTGTGTTCCTGCGAACCCACAGCAACCGGAGATACCCTAGCTCCCCGCCGTGCTCCCCCTTTGGCGGCAGTCTGAGTGGTCAGGAGGCGGACGGACCCCAGGATCCTACCTGCGAGCTGCGCCACCGCACCTGCCGTGCGCCCAGGCAGGTCCTCGCGGAAACGCACTGTGCGCCCGGTCCGAGCTCTGTGCAGACCCCCGAGCGCGGCTGCCGCCGCCCGGGCAGCCACCGAGACCCCGGCCGGCCTGCCCCTCCAGGGCGGAGCCGCCACCGCGCGCTGCAGTGGCAGTGCCTCCGCCTCTAGGCGCCGCCTGGAGCGCCCAGGCCCCGCGCCCCACCCAGCCCACACCCTGCACTGGACCCCCGGAGCCCGCATCTAACCTAGCCGGGTCCCCGCACGCACGGGACACGACTGGTCTGAGCGTGGGACCCTCGGGGCAAGGCTAAGGCTGCACCCTTCAGGGCGGTACACTGGCCACCAGCGGCCACTTCTGTCCTCAGGCGCCAAAAGCAAGCTAGAAAAGGCCGGCAGGAAACCGACCAAACTACTTTCCATCTCGGGTGGGGGTGGCGATCTTATGCGGCCTAGGGTTCCACTTTGTTTTCCCACTTCTAAACAATAAACTGGCAAATACTAGAGAGTTAACCAGCCTTAAGTGGCACTGTGTCCCGCCTGGGCAGCAAAGCTCCACTCAGACACAGCCCCGAGTTCCCAGTGGGGTGAGCCGGGGGGCCTGAATGTGTCCCCCTCCCTGGCCCCTGCACCCACCTGAAGGGACTCCACTCACAAGGACTGGAGGCTGTCCAGGGAAGGCTTTCCAAGCCAGCTGGGACACACAGGCTGGGCCTATCGGACAAGACCTTGAGACCAAGAGGGGGACGGCCCCTGGCACTCAGGAGACAGGGGACCTGCTGGGCCTGCTCTCCCAGTCCTGCGGCCGTTATTGTTGGCTCAGAGCAGTCAGCACCAGAGCCAAACCACCCTTTCTGGGGGCAACGGGCTGAGCCCAGTCAAGCCCTACGCCTGCTCTGATACCTCACTCTACAGACCTTGGGGTGACCAGTGGGGACTGTCCACATCCCCTCAGTGTGTTGGGGGCAGAGGAAGGTAGCTTTCACAAAGCCCTGTCCCAGAACAAAATCCACCACCCCTCACCCAACCTCAGCACTGCGGACCCTATGTGTCAGTAGGGAGGGCGGGGGGCGGGGAGGAGAGGGCATTTGCACCTGACTGCAGGGCTTGTGATGGGAGGGGGGGAGAGAGCCTTGAAGACTGGACCAGGTGGAGGGGGAAGGTAGCCCCTCCAGGTGCTGGGGCCTCACCCACTGCTGTTCTACCTGGGACCTGCCCAACGCCCAACCACCAGCTGAGTGGGCGGTGGGTGGGGTCCAGGGCGGCACTACCTTTTGTAAACATTGTCATCAAGACAATTCAGGCTCATAGTGACCCTGCAGAACAGTAGAACTGCCCCTGTGAGTTTCAGAGCCTCTCTTCACAGTGGAAAACCGGTGTTTCTTCTGAGGATCGGCTGGTGATTTTGAACTGCTGACCTTGCTGTTAGCTGCCCAAAGTGTATCCACTATGCCACCAGGGCTCCCTTGCAGGAGCCTGGTCCTAAGTAATTCCAGTGGCCCCTGGGAAGTGGGGCCATGGGAGGAGGCTCCAGGCCCAACTGGCTGCCCTGCCTGACAGCCAAGGAGAGTGGTCCTTGGACGAGAGCAGAGCTCAAGGTGGGCTGGGCCTGGGGCTGGGCCTGGGGAAGTGGGGAAGGCCCTCTGGGACAGGGGCATTCGAAAGGCCCTCTGTCACCAGGCCTTCACACAGGTAGTCACATACATAGGAAGGAGGCAGTGTTGAGCTGTGGCTTTTATTAAATCGGTTTTGGTGAAAATAAATAAATCTGACACACATCCTTCAGCAAAAAAGATTGGGGAGGAAGCACAGGGTGAAGTTCTCTGGAGTAATACTGCCCACGGCAGGTGGGGAGGAGGTTAAGGCACAGGTGAGGGAGCCATCCATGTAGGGGAGGGGGCACCTGCACTCTTCCCCACTCAGTGCAGCAGTGAGTGGTTTGTTGGAAGGGGGCTGGGAGTCATGGAGAGCACCCCTCTGAGGGGAGGGGAGGGGAGCACCAAGCCCTCCCTCTGCAACCTGTATTCAGAGGGGGGCTTGGCCGGCCCAGGGCCCCGCCTCACCAGGCAGGGAGGCTGAGTGGGGGTACCACCCTTGGCACCGGGGGCTGGGGAAGATGAGGCGGTAATCAGATCAGCTTGGGGGCAAGCCCTGGGGTTGCTGCAGGGTCTCTGGGGCATGGCTGGACGGCTCACGCATGCGCAGGGCGTCCGGGGGAAAGGCCACGTTCGAACAGAAGAGACCAAGCAGGAGTTGGCGCTGGCATTCCTCCCACTTGGCCAGCGCATCCCCAAGCGAGAGGTTGTTGCGCATCCAGTTGGGCAGCGCCTGGCTGTAGGCGGCACAGGACAGTGGAACAGAGGGAAGCGACTGTGCGCGGCGCAGCTCCACCTGCTCGGACAGCCTACAGCGGGAGGGAGGGAACCAGGGGGTTTGAAAGGGGTCTGGCGGCTGTGCGGGCACAAGGAGTTGGCAGGTCGGGCGGCTTACCTGCTGGGCAGGTGGCTGCCCAGCTTCCTCTTGGCGCGCATGACCAGGTACTGGCAGATGCTCCCGGTCTGCTCCTTCATCCACCGGATGTCCTCAGGCACGTCCGGCAGCCACTCCAGCAAGCTGGGGGCGGGGCCGCAGGATAAGGCTGGGGCCACACCCACTCCCCGCCCCTGGGCCGGCCCCCTCCGCACCTACCGGATGGTGAAGGATACTGCACTCTCCAAAGGCAGCGTGTAGGGAACCATCATGGCCGTGGCCAGGCGGACGGGCAGCATGTTGGACAAGGTGGTCAACAGGTCCTTGGGCTCCACGCAGGCCTCCAGGAGGGCTGTGGGCAGTGGAAGAGGGAGATTGATGGAGGCGGAAAAGAGAAGCTCCCCACCCCTACCCCTCTCTCCTGGGCACACACCCTCATTGAGCCTGGTGGGCAGGTGGTCCAGAATGTGGTCCTCCCCAGATGGCTGCAGGTGCTCCTCAGCTCGGGCCCTCTCCGCAGCCTCGGCAGCCTCCGCAGCCTCCTCCTCCTCAGGGGTGCGGGGCCGGGTGGGGGGCAGTGCCAACAGGGGGTTGGGCTGACTCAGGAGGCCTGAGGTGGGGGTGGGGGAGGTGTGGTTGATGCAGGCAATGGCCACCAGGGGGACAGCAGCACCCAGGTGGTGGCCCTCCCTGTCCACAGCCTGCAGGCCCCAGCACACACGCACCGTTGCGTCGCAGAAATCGAAGTCCGTCCCGGTAGCCCTGCTTACACATCCCCCGCAGCACCTGTGGCGAGTGCAGGCCCAGCTGGAGCAGGCATGCCTGCAGACACCCCAACGCCCACCTGCCCTGGATCCTGGCAGGTCCCAGTCAGGCTCCTGCTCTGCCTACTGCCCCAGCCCTCAGCTACCACGCTCACCATAGGCTCCGGGGGGAAGAGGGCCTTGGAGAGGCGGTAGAGGTTGCGAAGGTTGAACTGGATGCTGGTGTTGGTGAAGCGTAGCTCGTGGATGTTGGTGGAGCTGTCCTGGGGACAGATGTCACTCTCTCCCGAGAAGGGGGACACAGTGATGGTGTTCTTGAGCTCGTAGAGGGGCAGGTTGTCGGAGATGCCGCCATCCACATAGCGCTGCGGGCCGGCAGGACCCACCGTGAGGGGCCCCAGGCCACCCGCCTGCCCTTCCTCCTCTTCCCAGTTCCCCGTGGCCCACTGCCACCCCATGCAGACCTTTCACCCACTGGGCACTGGGCACCGAGCGAATGGCTACCAGGGGGATCAGGAAGTATGTCTCCTCAGGCAGCCTCTTGGGTAAGCAGGCTGGGAAGTGAGGCAACAGGCGGAGGCGAGGGCCAGGGCCCCACAAAGCCTTCCTCCTGCACCCCTCGACCCACTGCCCAGGCAGGACCACCAAAGCGGCCCCAGGCAGATACTCACCACACCCTGGAGGGTAGGGGGGATAAGGCCACAGTAGACCGGGATGAAGGTGCTGCAGACGTTGGCCTGCAAGGGTATGCGGGGGCAGGGTCAGCTGTGAGTAGGCACCATGGGCAGCCAGCCAGCCCCCACCCCCCTGGCCTGCGCCCACCTGGATGAGCTCTTCCTTGGAGTTGAAGTGGGATATGATGACGTTCTCACCATCAGAGACTCGGGTCAGGGAGATGCCCAGCCGCCCGTTGACTTGCTCATGGCAGTCGGCGGGCAGCGTCTTCAGCAGGCAGCCCCGGATGGTCTTCACTAGGTTGAAGGAGGGGTGCAGGGGGCCCAAGAACCTCTTCCTGGCCTCCTTGGACACCTCAATGATGTTGGCACCGGCCTCACCTGGAGCAGCGGGGCAGACAGAGCATCCAGCACCCCTGCCTCACTCCCTTCCAGGGTTCACAGTGTGGGGGAGGGGGCTTCCGAGCCTTGGGAACCAGGGCTGGGTCCACAATTTTGTCACCTGCCCTGGAGTCAAGCGGCTACCCCTCCTGGGATGGCAGAGTGCCCAAGTTGGCCAGCTGGATTTGCCCTCTCCCTGATATTTCCCAATCGCCTTCCCCATGAGTCACTGGGCCGGCCTGGTGTGCCAGCCACCCGGGTGGGAAGAAGTCAGTTAGTGATTCAACTCAGCCTTCACCCACTGGGTCAGCTCCAGCCAAGGGCAGGGGTCCCACAGGCCTGACACAGGGGGAGGCCCTCCTGGAAAAAGCACAGAAACTGTGTTCCCCACCCCCACCCTGTTCCCTTTAACCCATCAAGAGCTGGCACTCCCCGCCCAACACTTTACCTGAGAGCTGGTGGGCTCTGGCTCTGAATAGAACTGGGCTGGGTGTAGCCCCTAGGACTGGTCAGGGCATGAGAGGGGCCATGCCTTCCCTTGGGCCACCACACCTACAGGCCAACACCCAGCTGTCACCACTGGTACACCTGTCCTACCGTGGCCCACACTGCCAGAAAATATGGGTGATATGGGCTTGCTGGTAGCAGGGAACCTTCTGAGCCGCATCTTCAACTTGGATATCAGTAACCTAGCTATGTCTGGGGGTACTGATGGGGGACAAGGGCACTTGTCTGAAGACCCCCTGGGGCAGGCAGGAGTGCAACAGTAACCCCTCACAGGCTCTCAGAAAAAGGCCCCAGGAAGGGGGGAAGGGAGGAGCCTTAAGATCCTGGTGGCCCCACTGTCACCTTGGTGACCCTGGGGACTGGGCAAGTAGTCTCTGGACTCCTGCCACAGGGACATGGAGTGTTGTAAACACCACAAACACGCCCGCATGCTGGGACGCAAGTGTAAGGAGGCGGGGCCTATATCAGGCATATCCAGGCCAGTCCCAGGGTGAGAGAGTCCTGAAGCCCAAGGCCCTTTCCCCCAGGAAGGGGACGCAAGGGTGGGTTGTACAAGGTTGCATGAGGAAAGGTAGCCCTGAGTTGGGCTCGCCCTCTTGGGGCCCTCCGGAGGGGCCTGGCCAGATTGCTTCGGGCCCGCACCTGCATCTCGAAAGCCACACCAGGCCTCTGGCTTATGACAGTTTGGAGCGACGTAGCCCGGGGACACAGTGACCGCTGGCACCAGGTCCGGCGCCGGAGGGAACTCAAGGTCTTCTCCCAACTCGCAGTCCCGCCTACGGCTACCGTGCTTTCTCTTTCCCTCGAAAAAGCGCCTCTACCGCACCGCGCCAGCCAGCCCCCTAACTCGGCCCTCTGGGGCTCGCGCCTGGCCGCTCCAACCCCCGCGCAGCTCGGGCAGAGCAAACCGGCCCCGCCCCCGCAGGTGTCCGGGCGGACTCAGAGCCGAGTCCCGGGCCGGCAGACAGGCCCCACTCACCCAGGCAGGCGCCTGTGACCAGCGCCGTGGCTGTGAGCGCCCCGGCCGAGGCGCCATAGATGTGCTTGGCGTTGGCCACCAGGAAGGGCGCGTGCTCGCGGAGGCAGGAGGCCACGCCGATGTGGTAGATGCCGAGGAAGCCGCAGCCCGCGAACGAG